CACCCACACCCACACCCACACCCACACCCACACCCACACACCCACACTCACACCCACACCCACACCCACACCCCACACCCACACCCACACCCTCGTGTATACGATTTCTCGCTTTGGGAAGATTGCCTACGGCCTTTTAATAATATCTTATTAGACAGCAAGATTTTTCAAGACTCTGATCTTACTACTTAATATAAAGCTTCAGAGACGATGAATTTTTTGCAAGATTTTCGTCTGATTTTATCAAATCATCAAAGATCTGAAGTATGATTACATAGGTTCATATGGTCCGACTGGCTGACTTGATTACGTTTTGCGTCTTTCAAACAAGATGCATGTATAGGAGCACCAGCCCCATTGCCGGAGCTGTTCTATATATCCAGTAGTTGCCATTGACAACGTCAATAGCCTTTCAATGTATCTACCTTTCTTACGAGTATGATACAAGGGTCTAACTTCTAGCATGTTTAGCATGCTAGTTGGTGCAAGTCAGTAGCCCGATCATGTAGGAATTGCCAGCGTTATTAAGAGCCATGTGGGCGTAAGAGACTTCTGCTTCTCCTTAGCGGATGCTGTGGCGATCGGATCACCTAGGCCCACCTTTCCGTCCTATCTCTCACGGTACCCACCTACTGAGCTCGCTGTCCCCTGTCAAGCAGGAGCGCCGTCATCCGGTTCTTTTATTCGCCGCCTAAGGCTGACTTGCTTGAGCTGATGGATGAGAAAGTGCCGCTTGAATGCTAGTCGACAGATGGAGTCTACTATTTCAATTGATCAGCAAGGGTGTGTCCGAAGCAATCAGGCAAGTGAGGCTGATTGACCAATCGAAATGCCGCCGACTGGTCTGCAGATTAGCCACCCCGAAACTTTTGGTCGAAGTTTCAGCACGTTGCTCGGGATTACCACGAGGAGGTTTCTGTGCGACCCCGATGCATGTTAGATCTGACATAAGACCATGTTGCTACTAGTATGAATGCCGCTCTCGTGAATTCCATATGATTCTTCTGCGAAGTCCTTCCATGAAAACTGTGAAGTAACATTGATCTAACGTGTAAAACTCCTCTAGTAATCAATGCACTTAGCTGTCATAATGGCTAGGATGGCTTACATTGAAGAAATTCATAGGAACACTAATTATTGCTTTAGCTTTTCTGATGTTCTTTAGCAGCCTATCATTTGAAACAACAGCAAAAAGAACTAGCTTGCCCCCTAATTTTCTTTTATTACAGCGATTCCTAATATTTCTCCTGATGCCCGATGGGTAGAGCAAGGTGTGACTGTTGCTGGAGGCTATAACAGTGGTAGTGCGGATAATCAAGTCTATTGGCCTGGTAGTGTCAGCATTGACGATGATCAAACAGTCGTCGTTACTGACTATGGAAATCATCGTATTATGCAATGGAAGAAGGATGGTTCGCATGGAGACAAAGTCGCTGGTGGAAATGGCAAAGGAACGCGATCGGATCAATTACATGGTCCAACTGATATATTGATTGACAAAGAGACGGATAGTCTCATTATTAGTGATCGAGAGAATCGACGAGTTGTACGATGGTTTCGACGCAGGGACACAACACAAGGTGAAACCTTGTTAGACAACATTCGTTGTCATGGATTAGCCTTAGCGGATCAGAGATTTCTGTACGTGGCTGACATTGAGAACCAAGCAGTTAAACGATACGATATCAAAAGAGGAGACAAGGAAGGAACTATCGTCGCTGGTGGTAATGGAAAGGGTAATAGTTTCAAACAATTTGATTGGCCAACTCATCTCTTCGTCGATTGCCAACAAACTGTTTACGTGTCAGACTACAATAATCATCGTGTAATGAAATGGCACAAAGATGCAACTGAAGGGATTGTTGTCGCTGGAGGAATAGGATGCGGAAATTCTCTGACACAATTATGTTATCCTCGAGGATTATTTGTTGATACGTTGGGTACTATTTATGTGGTAGAACGAGGTAATCATCGAGTAACACGTTGGCCTCAAGGAGAAAAAAAAGAAGGCTCAGTTATTGTGGGTGGAAATGGTCAAGGAGACAAAGCAAATCAGCTCAGTGGCCCGGTTGGATTGTCCTTTGATAAACATGGTCATCTGTATGTTGTCGATACGTTAAATCATAGAGTTCAACGATTTTCTCTCCAATAAATTCATTCAAACCATTGGGTTTTTCAGATGTAGGAGGGGTTGAGAGTGAGTCACGAAGTACACGGTGTAGGTGTAAATGTGATTCATCGAATAAATTCAAAGCACCATATGACGATCGTTTCGACTATTGCTTAGGTAGTCATCATCAGGCAAGTTCTGAATCGGACTGTCCGAAAGAATCCGAACCCACATTTATAGATGTGTGGAAGGTGTTAATATATTGGATGAGGGTGATGAGAAACAAAATAGTGAACGAAGAGTTTTATCGGTATACAACAGCATCTCAGGATTCTGCATAACTTTTTGCTGTGGGAAGAGTGGCATGATTTCAGATTGGTTAGCTAATGAATTTTATATCAAATGAAAGCTTGTCAAAAACGGGAGTGGGTGTGGGTGTGGGTATGGGTGTGGGTATGGGTGTGGGTGTGGGTGTGGGTGTGGGTGTGAGTGTGAGTGTGGGTGTGGGTGTGGGCGTGGGTGTGGGTGTGATTGTGGGTGCCGGTGTGTGGGTGTGGGTGTAGGTTTTCGTGTGGGTCATAATGACACTCACACCCCCACTCCCACACACCCACACCCACACCCACACCGACACCCACACCCACACCCACACACCCACACACGCACACCTACACCCACACCCAACTT